TGTGCGTCCATTTTTATGTAACTCCTGCTCTTCTGCAGCACACTGCAACTGCAGAGAGAAGACATGTTAATGAGAACAGAGTAGAAAATGTTGTTAAAGATTCACACAAGGATAACCAAAACGATTTGATCTGTGAGGAGGAGTAACTACAAGAATCTGATCCTTAACTGGTATTTTTTTTACAAGATTATGTGACTCCAAACAAGCAACATCTAAGTTGCTTGCTAATAGGTACCGAAAAATGCAAACAAGAAAAAGCAGAAACTAAACTTGAGGTTTCATACTTTTATCATATATAAGCGTATTCCAAGTTGTGAAAAACAAAATCTTCAGGGGTGAAGAGGAGAGCTGGTGGTGACATTTATAAAAAAGCTTCGAGCAGTTCAATTGTGGACTTCGAGCAGCTTCACAGCCAATATTTGAACTTTAAAATTTCAAATTAGGAATTTTGAGTAATGAAACTCTATATTTGAAGTTTACTACACAAAATTTCAAATTTAGTTAGGGTCGGTCTTGTGTGTCATGTATGTTGAAACATTTGCTGCACGTTTCTTAATATTTTGAAAAAAAAAAAATTTGTATATAGGTTGGGACAATTGCAAAAATACCATATTTGTGATACCACAATTCAACTTTACCACCACTCAAGGGACATTTTCATAAATACACAATTCATTAATAACAAAAGACAATACTACCCTTCCCTATCTTCTCTTATATTTTCTTTCTCTCGGCGAGATCCGCCGTCTCTCTCCCAAAAGTGCGACGAAAGATCATAGAGGTTCAGTCCTTCGCTTCCTCCTTCACCGTTCACGATGTGCCATTCCACCTCCAGGATCAGCGGCTGCGGAGGAGATGGGGAGAATCTACCGCCGAGAATCTCACGACTCTTCCATAGATTTCTCTCCCCATCTGCGTTACTATTGAAAATTCGATTTTTGAAAACATCGAATTACTTTTCTTTACGAAGATTTGTTTACAAAGTCGTCGTTTTTGTCTGGAGCTTAGCTACTATTTAAAAATCGATCCTTTATAATCTGGAGCTTAGCTACTATTTAAAAATCGATTCTTTTATTTTCTGAAGCTTAGCTTAAAAATCGATCCTTTAGTGTCTGGAGCTTAGGTACTATCTAAAAATCGATCCTTTAGTGTCTCGTGTTTAGCTTATCTAGTTTCTTTTGCTAAGCTAGAATTGTGTTTAAACGTCGTTGTTTTTTGTGTATCTAGCTAACGATGGTGCGACGATCTTGGAGCAAGTGGATGTTGACAACCAGATTGCGAAGCTTATGGTTGATTTATCACGGAGTCAGGATTATGAGATTGGTGATGGCACAACGGGCGTTGTTGTCGTGGCTGGTGCGCTTCTTGGTTTAGGATGCTGGAAAATAAGAGCATGAGCTATGTAGATGGACTTGTTCTCATACCTTCATACGACTTGTTCCTTGTTGAAAATGTCCAACGCATATGCATTTGCGATACAGGTACTACTTAGATTCTAATCACCGATAGAGAAATGCTAGTGTTGTTACTGATGTTTTTACCCTCTGTATCTATAGAGGAATGGGTGAAGAATAATGATGTGCTCTTGTTCTGGCAAGTTAAGCCTGTTGTCCATGCCTTTCAGGTAAATCCAAACCTGATTTAAGTTTAATAACTTTGTTTTCTCTTGGTGACATATTATACATGACTTTTTTATGATTTGCATCCATTTAACTGAGGAAGGACCATGTGAGGAACTCGGCCCTGATGGAAAACCTTCTAGCTTTAATGAATTTATTCTCCCTGCTAAGGAGTTTGATGGCTTAAGGGAAAGGTGTGTCTCAGAGCCTGGTCCTGACTTGGTTGTAAAGCAGTAATGGGTATGAAACAATTTATTCAGTGGTCTGGCTTTTGTTTTGTTTTGTTTTGTTTTGTTTTGTGTAGCTTGATATATGAATCTGGACTTAAGCAACGGTTACTATGTTACGCCGCAAGTGCTTTGTTGTTCACGCAGAAGGGTGCTAATCCAAATCTTGTTTCATGGAACAGGTGAGTGACATTGGTCTATGTTTGTTTTGCAGATACATTTTGTGCTTCTTGTTAGTCGCCAAGGAAAAGTCAGGCTCACCAAATGGTATTCTCCTTATACGCAGAAGGAAAGATCCAAGGTCTAAAAAATAACAGTGGAACTTTAATTGACCTTCTCATTCCTTTTTTTATTTTTTTTTGATATTGTAAAACATTGATGTTTGGTAAGGTTATACGTGAGCTCAGTGGAGTGATTCTGAACCGAGGTCCCAAGCTCTGCAATTTTGTTGAGTGGAGAGGTTACAAAGTTGTCTACAAAAGGTACACGAGTCTCTACTTCTGTATGTGTATTGATCAGGAGGATAATGAGTTAGAGGTCCTTGAGATCATTCATCACTACTATTTCGGAAGTGTGAGTTGATTAGCTAGCCACCTACTTGGCATAACCTCTGCTTCCACTTCTTATGATTTTTCTTTTTGTGTGTGATCTTTTTCAGGTGTGTGAACTTGATTTGATTTTTAACTTTCACAAGGTAATATACACATTAACACAAACACTCTGCCATTATTCAACACTTAGTTTTTTCATTGGTTACTTTCTTAGGCGTATTACATATTGGATGAGCTTTTGATTGCGGGTGAGCTCCAAGAGTCAAGCAAGAAAACTGTAGCCAGGATTATATCTGCTCAGGTAAACCACCTTTACTTTTTATTTTTTAAGACATTGACATGAAAAAAATTATAGTTATTTTTTATATATGATTTGTCTTGACAAATATCAATCTCTGTCTGTTTTGTTCTTGAAGGATCAAATGGTGGAAGCTGCAAAAGAGGAGGCTGGTTCCATAAGCAATATCATCGCTCAAGCTTCAAAATATAATTTATAAGGGTTTATAAAGGGTTTAAATAAGTTTATTAAAATTTTATATAAGATTTGTTAGGGTTTTTAAAAGATTTTGATAATTTAAAGAGTTTATATATAATTTATAAGAATATATAGAAAACTGATGTTAGGAGTTTTCAAGGCTCCTAAGGCAAATGTTGTAGTATAAGAGATTGTCGAACCAATTCTAAGGGATTTTAAAGCACTGAGAATGCAAGTACTCACTTAATCTAAGTGCAATCGAATAAATGATGGTTTTAAACTATAACTAAGAATAAGAAAAGCGATAACTAAATAACTTCCTTGATTAAGAGAAAGGA